GTTCTTGTTGTTTTTTATTAAAGAAGAAACAAAAAAGTCCATTTTGACATAGTTATTTAATCCGTTTATATTTAAAAAGTACACATGTCAAATTACAATATTAAATATTCTTGACATATTAAATGTCTAGAATGACATTTCATTCCGAATATGACATTTCTCTACATTTTAAATATTGTTCTCGACATTTACATGTCTAGCATTAATTGTGATTTGACATGTGCAATATGAAATTATTTATTCTTTCATTAGGGTAAAATAGAAAATTTGGTATCAAATTTGGTCATTTTTGCAAAAATTATCAAAAGTGGACATTTTTGCAAATGCCCCTTTGTTATATATTATTTGAAACTTGGTGATAACTTGATTTTTTTCGTTTACTATCTCAGACTAGAAGAATCATGATTGGCCATCTAGTTGACATTCATCCTTGTGAACTCAATTTTGTGTGTAAGTGCAAAGTGGAGTTATGTTGCTCGGATAGATATGGAAACACATAGTGTTTTATGGTTTATCTTTGGCCTTCGGTTGTGTAAATGCATACATCATATTGCATCCGAATCTTGGTGTATGCCGTACATTTAATGATATCACTATAGTTCCATTCATCAGTATTCTTAAGAGAGAATTCTATCTCGAAACAAGGAGCCCCTTTTTACTTGCCCCTGAACTGTAGTTGCATTGTCTTGAATAGTCTCATTGTTGGAATTTGTTCAAAAATTAACCGAAATTGGTTAAGTGTAAAACTAGAAAAATGAAAATGTGTGACTTCGATCGAATATTCGGACTTGATCCGATAGTCAAATTACAAAAGAAAATAGATCCACTTATTCTACTCGTCGAGTAGATCGTCGTGGTATATTGGAATCTCGAAACCAGTTCCGAATGAATGAGAAATTGCGTTCCAAAGTTGGAATAATGAAATGTTGCAACTTTTCAAAAGGATACATGTTTGAAATGAAGTATTGCAACTTTTCATGAAAAATGCTGAATTTGATGTGCATCCCTTCACCCACATCCTTTCAATTTATATATATATGACCCCTTGGACGTTCATTTGAAATTTCATATTTTTCATTTCTTGTCATGTTGCATCAAATACTTTGTAGAAGTTGTTATATCTTGCATCCAAATCATGGTTATGATAGAGAGAGAATTTCGTTCGAGTTCATTGGTCGAAGTCATTTGAAGTGCTCCTATGACTTGACGTGGTTGTTGTATCTTGGGAGATAATTGCCGGAAAACCGTTAGCACTGATGCGATGCAAATTCATCTTAAGGAAAGAGTGCCAAAAACTTGTCTCGGTCAATCGCATCACTTGCAGCTAATTTTTCTTATTTTTAATTTCTTTCATCATATTTGATTTTAGAAATTAACTAATATTCTTTGATTTCATGTAAGGTTGAAATTCAAGAATGGAAATGGATGAATCCATATTCATGTGTTTGGAATCAGATGGTGTAATTATTATTTATTTTCTCAAATCAGATTCGATAAGTCGAAATTTTGATTTGAATTCATGAATGTATAAGGTACGTTTTGTGAATTTAATAGCATGTTTATCAGTGTAATATTCCCAACACTTATTCCCTGTTGGGTGACATTGGATCGAATCTTCGCACTTGGAATTAAAGTATTTTCATTCGGATTCAAATAGGAAATTTGCTAACTTCAATTCCACTGCCCCAATTCCATGCACTAAGCTTGGGTATCCTGGATTTCATGTTTACTAGTATAGTACCATTTTGAGTCACCTTGATTGTGTTTTTGGATACTTAGGGATGATTGTGAAATGCATGCCTTCGGATGACAGCTATTAAGTGTCGTGGCTCAAGATTTCTATCATTGCATACCTCCCAAAGTTCTAACTGGTATGAGGTCTATAAGTTATTTGATCTCATTTCTCAATGAGAAAACTTTATGGAGGTGAATTTATATATAGTTATTTTAGCTCTGGTAGGATATAGGACAGAATTATGTTGTTTTGTAGGGACGTGAATGAAGTTTAATTTTGAATTATT